CGAGCTGCGGCGCCGGCTGCAGCCGCCTGGGCCCCGGGCCCGGCTCCTCCCGCGCCGCCCGGGCGATGAGAAGCTGTTTCTGCGTGAGACGGAGCCGGGACCCGCCGCCGCCGCAGCCGCCGCCGCCCCAGCGGGGAACAGTTAAGTGAGGCCCGCGCGGGAAGACGGGCGGGGGCGGGCGGGCGGGATCGGGATCGGGAGGAGCCGGCCGGGCCCAGGCCTGCGGGCTGCTTGCCCGGCCCCGCGTGGGGACAGGCCCCGGGAGGGCGGCCTCCGCCCGGCGTGATGCCGCGGGCTCTCCGGGCTGCGGCTCGGCCTTGTCGCTGGAGCGATCTGGGGACTCGAATGGCTGCTAGCAGCGTTCCGAGGGTGGAGCCAGGTGAGGGGCGACGGTCTCCACCGGGGCACATGCTGGGGACAGTTCCCTTGACTCGCCTGGCCTGGGGTCCGGCTCTCCGCTGTCACGTGGGTGCGGAGGAGCGCGCACCTGACCCTCAGGCATCGTTACCTGGGGGCACCTGAACTGTGTAGGGCACCTGTCTGCAAGGTGACCAGCCATCCAGGAAGCACGGTGGGAATGTGGATGGGCCTCCCCTTGCAATGACTCCAGCCAGGGCAAGTGAGGCCCTAGGCGCTGCTTGGCACAGCACCAGGGACCACATCCTCAGAGACAGGCACAGTGAAGAAGGTAGACCCAGGAGCATCTTTGTTCCCTTTGTCTTCAGTACACAGCTGTCCCTAAATTATCAGCCTACCTCTCTTCTGTCCCCTGGCCCCCAGCGACCTGTTCAGCAAGATGAGAGGGTCGACAACAGGCAGGCCCAAGGCAAATGGCCATTGCTCCTACTCCCTGCCCCCACGGGAGACCCTGAACGCCTGGATTTCAGCCACATTGGCAGACAGCAGGCAGGGCTCCTCTTTCAGGGCCTTTGTCTCTGGTAGTGCCTTGTTGGAGTAATCTCATATGTTTCCCGACAGCTGGCTGGATCCTATCTCCTCTTAACAGGGCTGGCAAATCTTATCAGCTGCCTTGGAAAAGTTAGGAGATAAGCCTCGTAGAAACCTATAATAACTGAAAAACTCTGAGAGCAGGCGGAGGTTAGGTACCGCAGATGGTGGCATCTCTCTTGCCAGCCTGGAAATCGCTTGGGGGTGCTTTGAGGAATTTTGCCACACTCCTATTTAACCCGGTCTCAGAATCAGGGCTTCTGCGTAGACCCAGGCACCAAGACCCACCGAGGTCGACTGATAGACAACAGCAGGTTTATCAAATATAAAATCACCCTTTCTGGTCAGTCGTCCATTCCTTCCTTTGGTTTTTGTGCCCTGATTTAGGCTGAAGACTAATATATAGGCACTTGCTGTGCCTATATTGGTGGACCTTGACCATTCTAGAATAATATTTCACCAAGGTTAAGTGCAGGGCTTTTAAGAATGACCCTGGCCTGTGTCAGGCTTTTCTACTCAGAGTGTGTCATTGGTCAAATGAATACAGTTTTCTGAGTCACCACTTCCTGGTATGTAGACTGAAGCGAATAACTGTATCACAGGCTCATGGTGGTATATAAATGAAGGGCTGCAGGAGAATTTAACACGTCTGCCCTAGCGTGGTGAATTATCAGTCAAAGCACTTCTTTCCAGCACCCTGGGTCATGCTTGTGCCTGTTGGCCCTTCCCCAGCCCAGCTAGCAGTTACTGCTAAGCATTTGGTGATGAAGATTGCTTATTTTGTTTTTTGTTTTTTGTTTTTTTTTTCTTTTTTGAGTGCATCTCTGTAGGCATAGGAAGGGCCTTTTCAGGGCAATAGAAGCTACGCTATAGTGAACGCAGCTTAGATTTGAGGGCTTGGGTTGAGTTCTATCACACTCCTCAGACCTTGGGTGACCCTAACAAAGCACCATCCCTTTCTAGAATTCCCATTTTCTTAATTGTGTAAGTGGCTTACAAATAATACCAACCCCACAAGGACCATCAATCAGGAAGGCACTTGACCCTTCAAGAAGCGGAGAGCATCATGAAAATTAAGTGGCGTCCAGCACTCAGCAGGCCTAATGCTTACATGATTTGTTGCTGGGGTCAGGCCCCATCAGAAAAGTAATTCAGGAGCATCTTGGTTTGGTATGTGTTGAAAGACCACATGGTCGTGTGAATACAATGTCTGGGTGCTCTCTAAGGGCCTAAAGAGTAAGGGAGAGCTCCAACATTGAATTTCTGCTCATTTCACGGCAGATCTACTTCAGGGGGATCAGAAGCCAAGTAGCTTGGGTCCCTCTGCCACGGCCAGTTAGAAGTGGTCCATGGTTCGTGTCCAAAGAGCAGTTGCCTCACCACACAGCCACATAATGATAGCATTGGAGCTGCACACGGGAAGTGTCAAGTACTGTTGGGACAGTGAAGATGATAAATGACCACATGGTTGGTTGTGGTTGGGCTGAGGATCCTGGTTACCAGCTGTGCCAGTTGGTGGTATTGGGCAGGGTGCCTGCAGAAAGCTGCTTCCTGTCTTGTCTCTTCTTCCATCCCTGGGGCGTCCTTGGCCTTCAGAGTACTGTGCTGCCCCAGGGAATTGTGGTTCCTCAAAGTTGTCCGAAGAGCAAGAGCCTGAGCCAGTCTCCTCGCTCCAGCTGCCGAGGAGGCAGAGCCACCTAGGGTGTGTGTGACATTACTCCCTTGTTGGGGACATCCTATGGGCATGTGTCCGGTTTGGTTGACACACTCCTGGCAAGATGCTAAGCTTGTTTTGGCAGAAATATGAGAGCCCCATGGGCGCAGATCCCAGGGCCACACGTGGGAGCTCAGTAGCTCAGCTTCCTTGAGCAAAGAGGGCTCTGTGTAGTTGGTCTTCTGGCTGGAGTTTTTACTAGAGTGTTCCTGTGTTCATTTTATCTATAGAAACAGATATGTGTGCACACGCTACATGCACTCTTTAAAGAAGTAAAAAACACTAGATACTGATAAGGACAGAGTGTTCGAAAGAGTACCCATATAGTCATTGAAGGAGGGAAATACATGATTCTTTTCAAAAGTAATCTTTGTGTGTGATAGTGGGGTTTGGGTTACATGTGTGCAGAGGTTAGAGGAGAACCTGTAGGAGTCAGTTCTCTCCTTCCACTGTGTAGGTCGCAGGAATTAAACTCAAGTCATCAGGCTTAGTGGCAGTGCCTTTACCTGCCTGGCCATCTTCCTGGCCCACACATGAGTTTAAGATTTATTTTTAAGTGTGTGTGTGTGTGTGTGTGTGTGTGTGTGTGTGTGTGTGTGTGTGTAGGCATATGCACATGACTACAGGTACTCTTGTAGGCCTCAAGAGGGTGTTGGAGCCCTTCTGGAGCCAGAATTACAGGTGGTTGTGAGCCACCTAACACAGGTGTTGGGAACCAAACTTGGGTCCTCAGCAAGGGCAGTACACAGAGTTAACCACCGAGCCATTTCTCCAGCTCCATACATGATTTTATTTGTCTTGTTTTTCAAGACAGAGTTACTCTTTGTAGCCTTCGCTGTCCTGGAACTGGCTCAGTAGATCAGCTGGCCTCAAACTCACAAAGATCTTCCTGCCTCTGCCTCCTAAGTGCTGGGACTAAAGGTGTACAAAACCACCGCCCAGCTTATGCATGAGCTCTTAATGAGCCCAGTAAGCCTGGGGAGTTTATGAAAATGCAGAAATCAGGAGTCCATCCCCAGACTTCACTGAGGCAGAATCTCTAGGAAAGCAACTCTACTTGTGAGTACATTTCGGGTGGTCGTATATCTGCTGAGATTTGAGAACCATGGTTCTGGATGCTTTTAGAAAAGTCTTAAATTTGGACAACATGAAGTTTACCAACTTTGCCAGTGTTAAGGGTACATACAGATCAGTGGCAGTCAGTCTAGCCACACTGTTGTGCAGCTAATCTGTAGAGCTTTTCTCTGTGTGTTTGTATAAATTTGCATGTGTGTCGAGGCCAGCGGTCACCCTTGGGCTGTTCCTCAGAACCATCCACCTTGTTTTTTGAGGCAGGGTCTCTCATTGGCCAAGATCCATGATAATTAGGCAAGGCTGGTCAGAGTGGCCCAGAAAGTCTTCCTTTTCCATCTCCTCAGCACTAGGTTACAAGTGTGTGCAACCATTTCTGGGTTTATGTATGTATATATATATATATATATATATATATATATATATATATATATATATAAAAGTTTATTATATTTTACGTGTATGAATGTTTTGCATGTATGTCAGTGTACAGTGTACTTTCCTGGTGCCCATAGAGGATGGAAGAGGCCATCAGATACCCTGGAAATGGGGTTGCAGATGGCTGTTAGCCACCATGTGGGTGCTTGGAACTGAACCCAGCTTCTTTGGAAGAGCAACCAGTAAGTACTCTACAGCTGAGCCTTCTCTCCAGCGACACCCACTCACTTCTGTCAGGCTTTTTGGCATGGGTTCTGGGGACTGAACCAAGGTCCTCTTGTGTTTTCAAGGCTGAATCATCCTTTCAGCTCTAATCTTGAGACCTTTTTTGGCTTGCAAAATTGAAACCATAAAACAGCTCCATTTCTTCTGGCTCCTGGCAACCTCCATTCTACTTTCTGTCTCCCTGAATGTAACCTTGCTGGGAGCCTTATGGAGCTGGAATCTAACAATGTGCAAATTTTTTCAGAATGGCTCATTTTACTTAGCACAATATCCTCACAATTCATCATGCTATAGTATGGGTCAGATTTTCCTTCCTTTGAAGGCTGAATGATATATGATTGAACGTATTGACCATTTCATTTTCCCATTCATCATATTTTGACCATTGAATGAGGCTGTTCTGGCTCTGGTTTCAATTCTTTGGGGGTAGATAGTTAGAAATGGATCATATGGAAATGTTATTTTTAATCCTTAGGGGAATCAGCATATTTTTTTTCCATAAAATGATGGCTGCTGTGCACATTCCCAACAGTAACATCAAAGCTTCTGATTTATCCATATCCTCCCAACATTTGTTACCTCTGGGTGCTTGCTTTTCTTTTTGAAGGTGCCAGCAGAATGGGTATAAGACATTTCACTGTGGTTCGGGTTTTAACTTTTGTTCCCAGGGACTTCAGAGTTGAACATTGTCTCCTGTGTTACACATTATCTGGGCATCTTTCACCCTCAGAGAAATGTTTGTTC